AATTTTTCTCTCTGTACTTTGACAATGTGATTTGTATGAAATACATTTATTTTTTTAGTTAGTTTATACTGTTTTCGCGCAAATACATCTTCATAATTGATTAGATATTATGCAGCATATGGCGAGAGCACAAAGAGACGTCAAGTTGACACTGTCACTATTGTCATAATATATTCCCTACAGTTGTAGATCGTGTAAACAGATTTATATAAATGAACTTTCTTGATGCTTCGATCCAAGCAACACAAAATTTTTGCGTATAAATAAGAGCGTCCCGTAACATTTGTGAGTGAATGTCCCTTGTGAAAAATGACGTACAAGGAAGTTCGAAGGGGAAAAAAAAGTTCTTTCACACGCGTACACGCTCGCGTATCCGGAAAGGCAATTTAATCGTGGCATTATTTTTTGTTCTACCCATGACACTTGATCTACCATCGTGATATTAAAACTGATGCTTCCCTGGAGCTAAGGGAAGAAAAGTTAGGAAAATGCTTTCGTCGAGAGAAATTAAATTCGATTTTTCACATAGCTTCCTTGGGTACGCTCTCGTCCATCCTCTTGGAACAAATGAGAGACGACGGGAGGGAAAATGCGTTGGCTTTCCAAGTCCAATACATTTTCTTTTCTCACTATTTGTATACGATTGAAAATAGCCATAAATGGCTCATGATCAATGTAAGTTTATTACGTGACATTTTTTAATAAAATATTCGCAATTAATGAGATTACCCATAATTGTAACAATAGCCCTTATGTCCTACAATCACACCTACGCGTTATTTTCCTGCCGAGTAACGCGTAAGATTACACTGGTCACATTTTTCCAACTCGATAAGAAGTGCGTGTAAAAAAAAAAAAAAGAAAAACAACTCGCACGTGTTGACGTTCCATCTCGTCGAGTGAGCTTGAACTTTGCTGACTACAAAGCAAGGGTTGCGTCACTACACGACTCACGGCAACTCGTTTTACAATTTTTGCGTTTCAACTGTCATTTTTGTTATGTATAGAAACGTTCGCATCGATAACTAATACTTATAGCTTGAGATTTTAGCAAATTGCGGCATTTACTTTGTTGCAGGGTATACCGAGCTCGTTCTCTTCACTGTAACGTATTTTTCGTTTACCAGGAAAATAGTTCATTTATATTTTTTTATCCGTCCAAGTTACATTCTATGATGAAAAAAATTCATAAATATTTTTTTAAACCCTAAAAACTTTGCCAGGGACAAAAAAAAACCTCGGATTACACGTCAGTGCCCACTCCATATACGGCTACACGCTATTACTGCTCGCCGGTGATTAACGGCACGGAAAACTCGAAAAGCTATAATAACGTCAAAGTTTACATGAGTAACGGTTCAAGTCATCGATTTTTCGAGATTTTTAATAAAATTTTTTTTTTTTTTTTTACTTATGGAGAAAAAAAAATGTCGTTTCAAAGCGAAATATCATCACGTATTTTACCCGAATTGTTTTTAAAAAACGTGACCACCGATCTAATTTTGCGTGACAGTATCACAGTACCATAACGAGTCTGCCGGGGACGGCGTTTAAAGTTAATCCCTCCACTGTCGCTATAAAATCGCTTATCAAAGGAGGAACTAGGAGGCACCTACTTTATACGCGCGTAGCTCCGTCGTGTTCGTATACCAGCGTCGCGTCGCATATACTTATTTAAATCTATGATGGAACTTCATCTGCACTAAAAAAAAAAAAAAAAAAAAAGTAGTGAAACAAAAAACATCAAAAGATAGATACGTCTTATGTAATCTCCGCTTGGCTCGTTAATGTGTAAACGTTGAACCTAATTTATACGCGACGAAAATAAAACTCGTGCCGCTCTCCACCCGCCTTAAAAAAAAAATAAAATAAAATAAAATAAACACAAGACACACACGCGCACATTGGGCCTTTGTTATTATCTTCCTGCTCTCTCCTCCATGCGATGAGTATAATATCTTTGCTAGTTTGTCCCTAATGACTGTACGATAACGGCTACGTTGGAGACACGCCGACGAGTGAACAGCTCTGTCAGAAGAACCTGTCCGAGTTAGCGTAGTCGGAGAGGAATAATACGATGTTTCAAGGTTGTCGAGTTTTAGAGGCTCGGAAAATTTTTTCGACCAATAAATAAATGGCACGGTAATGGTAATCTGCATGTAAGTTTGAAAGAAGCGTCCAAAATAATGCACACATTCACAGGATCGAGCAAAAGGTAAGTTAGCAATCGCTATTGATTAGAATGCATGATGAACTTGATACGCAAAGCTTGTGCGTATAAGTACCACACTGAAATGCGATTCATATTTATTTTGCATATGGTAAAAAAAAAAAAAAAAAAAAAAACAACAACAACAGCTTAATACCTCTGCACTTGTTTCGATGTCTTGTCAAAATTTGGGTTGATCAAGTGTTTTCTTTACTTTCGGGTCTTATATTATTCGATAAACACGATAACATTCGGGAGAAATGGATGAGAATGGACTTTTCGCGGAAAACTTGAATAAAAATTGTTTTCAACTATGTCTACATGGTGCATAGCCAAAAGTTAAGATAGTATAGTTGTTGTAGTATGATGAAAATGATTAAAATCAACACTTTGGAAATTTTACTTCACTCCACCTATAAAAAACTATGTAATAACGATATATTCGCAGATCACCAGCCAATAAAAACCTTTTTATCTTAACTTCACTTTAATTTTTCAACGATTTGGTAAGCCAGTATCAACAATGAAATTAGTGTGTAAGCATTATTTTTGTCCGAAACCAACGATTGATATATTTCCCTCTTTAGACAGATAATACGTAAACAAACAGTACTGGAAAAAAAAAAAAAAAAAAAAAAAAAAAACGCGACGTATCAGAAAATTACTGGGGGAAAAACATCGCTCGATTGAGCATAAATATTCCAACAGCGGCAATTTGTAGTTGAACGGTATTATGTGCATGGCAGTGCCTTCCCTCCTTCTCTAATCGTGTATGTCTGCAGTGGTGGTCGCACTTGGATTGTTTTACTATATGCGGGATGGCCGCGATCCACTTTTTCTATTTGTGCAGCGGCACCAGACACGAAAATGCGGATACGTTCTTTTCCTCCTCTATATGCCGTTTGCGCCACCTTCGGCTTTTTCTCTCGTCTTCGCCCTCCTCGTTGACGCCTCTTGATCGTCGAAACGTGAAAGCACGCCAAGCTCCATCCACAAGCAACCGTTTCTCCTCTCTCAGCCAGCTTTTTTTTTCCAACACCCTATTACGGTGCTTTGGTGGTTTTGGTGTTTCTACTTACTATTTTTCATTCTTGAAGATGTGTTTTTTTTTTTTTTTTTTTTTTTTCAATTTGTTCCAACTGGGCAGGCTTCTTCGGTATTTGATTAGTGCCTGAGAAGGTTTCATTTTGTAATGATCTTTCATAAATTTCAAATATTAGGATGAAATAATTTGCACGACTAATTTGAACAATAGAGAAGAGCGCACTTTTTTTTTTAACCATTGGCATTCATGCGAGTTTCAGAGGCAACGCAGTGTAAATTTGACGACCAAGAGAACGTGATTGCGTAACGATATCGTAGATGAGCTGATGATTGTCACCGTCACCAGCTGCCATGCGATTGTTTCGTTGAAGTTTATAGTCTAAGCTTCAAAAGTTCGGGCTCGTTGATACATGCTTTTTTTCCAGCGAACAGATTACTGGTTAACTGACTAGAGATATGTATGATTAACGCATTGTGTTATGTCAAACGAATGAGTTAAATTTTAATGAATATATCATTGTAGGCCTAAATTTACATTTGTGTAGAATGGAGGTGATAAGATAATATTTTATTTTCATACGATACGAGAATAGTCAGTGGTACTCGGAAGAAATGTAAAAATTCAAGGCCTATAGGTTGAGCAAAATAAAGCAAGCGTAATATATTGAATTTTTTTTTTTTTAAGTTCGAAATATTATTTTAATAATATGTGGTGTTACTATTTTTATTTATAATAAAAATTAATACATTCCTGAAATAGTCGTTAGATCAGACTGTATAGTGATTGATTGTTGTGTGCACCAAATTTTATAAGTGAACTTTTAAAATGTTACTTGAAAAAAATTAAAAACAAAGCGAAAAATCGCTCGTCTCGCACCGTTTGTTGTATTTATTCGAAAAGTCAAAGTACCTACTAAAAAAAATAATAATAATAAAATCTCACTCAGTTAACAAATCATCTCTAAAAAAACAAAAAAAGCGGACAATTTAGTGAAATAACGAGTTATCCAGCCGTGCAATGCAAAGCCAAACAAAATGTTGCTCCAATAACACACCGCGTAAATACACCGTAAATTGCAACACAACGCAATGCGTATAATCGTTAGTCCTCACGTAACGACACAAGTGTCAGGAGAATAGCACAGCCTCCAATCCGTTTTATTTGTGGGTGGTTGGGTAACACAAGCGCGTACAATGTACACCATTTGCGAAATGCGCACGTAGTATCTCCGGATTGAATTAGGCCTCAGGTGTAGCGGCTTGTGAAACCGGCGGAGCCATAGACGCTCAATTACGAATTATCTTGCATTAAATCTACATAGTACTCTTCTGTATTATTTTACATGACGTGTCGCTTCCTCATCTTTTGAAAGCTCATGGAATCAGCTTATACGTTTAGAAAAAAAAAAAAAAAAAAAAAAACAACATGATTTAATCGACAGATGCAAGTCTATAACTATACTATATGTGCGTACTAATAACAGAGTTTACATATGTAATTTAAAAATTAGTTGACCAACGAGGCTCGTTAAAGCCAAATTAATTTCTAAAAAGACTGATAATTTTAGTTGCGGAATACTGGGATGTGCAGTGCAACTACTAAGAAAAATCGGCTTTAAAAATATACGTTAAGACCATAGTATAAAGGAACCTGTCTAAAAGTGGTTTGAACTAAAAAAAACCTTTTATTATTTGTGAAGAGGTTAATGAATAATTGGCACACTCTTATAAACAAAACATGACTCACCTGTCCAAAGTGTGTACCTCCAGGTCCTTGAGCACACGAGGGTATCGCTGCTTCTTGAAAAAATATACTGAGTGCCGTCTGAAAGGACCAAGAAAACAAAATTATTCACGTAATTCTATTTAAAATAATTGGTTATTCAATTACACGTCATATGTAAATATTGCTTTTTTGTAGGAAAAATTGAGCAACGGACCGAAAAATGACACCACAAGTGCGTCTTTGGTTTTACTAGGGAAGAGAAAAATGAATTAGAAATTTGGAATCAACTCTTTGTGAATGTCGCATCACATTCATACCTAAATTTCTAACGCTTCGTTTCTTTCAAGTATAACTAGGGATTTGTTCTTAGCCTTTATTTTTGCTTACGACTATTTTGTACTATATTTTTGTGTGTTTTATTGTCAATACCTTTAAATTTCTACCTCTACTCGCATTTTCAACTCGTTATATTTACAAAACTACTTTACTTTCAAACTCTTCGTAATTTCATTTGTTTGCAAATATCAAGTAACTGCTTGTCTATCATCTTCTGTATTTTTGTGTTCAAGTTTCTGAGATTCTGATTCTATGTTTACACCTACACGACAATTCTTCGTATATATTTGTACAGTAGGATAAATCTTTTTGTCGCTTTTTCTCAATAATTGTGTCCTTTTCTTTTCTTTTTGTCTTTTTTGATTTGACTCAGTTTTATGTTACGATACTTGTATAAAAATTCAGATGTACTCATAGATACCTCATTAAGAATTATATGCTCTGTGACGTGTAGGTTTCCAATTTTATTAAACCCAAAATGTAGATGTTCATTATGCTCAATCACCACCCGAACTTGGATCGCCTGCTACTGTCCATAGAGTCAGTGACACCATTTGCGCTTCTGTTTTATATGTTCTTCGAAAAAATGGCCCTTTAAAGGCACGCAGTAAACTGATTGGAAAAACAATGAAAACTGTCCTGGAGACGGAACTTAGAAATCACAGATGCGGCAGAAAAACGTCGTCAAACGGTCGTGACTTGAACTACCTGTGAGCTTGACAATGGATGGAGAAACTACGATTTCAAGGACAGCATTGTAACGAGGGGGACAAACAGCAGCAAGGAAAGCTCGGAGAAAGTAAAATGCAAGAAATACACACCCACTCCAGCAACAACAGGGCACACCAAGATTTTCACTCTTGGGAGCAGCCGTAAAGAATACGGACTGATGAGACCCTTTGACTAAAATAAGAAAAAATGTATTTTAAGTAGTGTCGTTCGGGTATACGAAAAAATCTCCAAAAAATTACATACTTGGAAAACATTTTTACATGGTCTCCCTCTACCGGACTATAAAAAAAAAAAAAAAAAAAAAAAAAAAAAAAACAAAAAAAAAAAAAA